GTTGCTCTGCTCCCAGAAGAGTGAGGGTGACGCAATTGATTAAAACCGTTTTGTTCTAGGTAAAAAAAAAAAAAAAAGCCCCCAGCAGCCGGGCGTGCCCTGCCGCTGCGGAACCTGCCGATCTCAGGTCCCGCGCACTGCGGCAGGGCACGCCCACCTGCTGGGGGCTTCTGCGGCGGGCGTGCCTTCCCCGGCTGCCGGCCTGCCCTGGATGGTGGCGTGCTGGCGGTTGGCGCTGTCCCGCCCTGCCTGCAGTATGCAAATTAGCCGCCATCTTTGTTGGCGGTTTATTTGCATAGCACCCTGATTAGCCAATGGGGAGCGTAGCGAAGGTACGGTCAATTACCCTTTTGTCTTTTCTTAGATAGGATATACTGTATATGAGGCCTCTAGAACCGTGAGAAATGCAAAAAAATTAACTGTTAATAACTCATTCTTGAATTGCCCCCCTTAAAAATCAAACTGCCCCCCTGTGGGGCGTGTGCCCCACGTTGGGAACCACTGATCTAAATAGACATTTCTCCAAAGAAGACCTATGAATGGCTACTAAGAACAAGCAAAGATGCTCAGCATCGCTAGTCATCAGGGAAACGCAAATCAAAACCACAGTGAGATGCCACTTCGCATTCATGAGGACGGCTACCATGGAAAAGACAGATATGAACTAGAGATGGGGAGGCTGTGAGGCGGCCCCCCAACTTCTCCATTTCAGAAGTCAAGCAGGGCACCCCACCCCACAGAGGACTCTGCTCCGGGCTCTGAGTTTCAGGACATTCTCAGGCCTCGCCTCTTGTGGACGCCTGCCCTCCGGTTCCCCCGCCCCCCTCGTTTCTCCCCCACATTCTGGATTCTTCGCAGCCCAGGCTCCTAGGGGTGACCCTCTCTAAACTCGAGCTTGGGAGCTTCCGTTTAAACTCCCAAGCGAGGAAAGCAGAATTATGGATGTTCCCAGCTCTAAGCCTCGAGTCTCTCTCAGGACGCCTCTCGTTGCCAAGGAAAATGAAACAGATGTCTTGGCAGTAGCTTCAGTGCTTCCTGCCAGACCAGGGAGAGCTGGTCTCCAGCGCAGATGCAGCCAAGAAAGACAAGCCCCGGCTCATGTCATTCCCAGGAAACACGCAAACACACACACGGGCTCCTCAAACCTGGGAGGCCGCCCTCCCAGCAGCCTCTCACCTGGATTTCAACATCAGCTGTAGAAATGGGCTGCCCCCCTCCCTTCACTCACCTCAGGCCTTCCATCCCCCCCCCGCCATTTCCCACCTCCCCCTGCTCCTCATCATCTAGTGACTCTGGGACCCCTTGGCCTGGCAGGGAAGGCCACCTTCCTTGCTGGGCTTGTCCCCATCATGCCCTCTGAACCCCCGGTGAGCGCCCTATCCACGGGTTTGTGGCGGCATTCCCTGTGTCTCCGTCATGTGGTCCCCCCTAGGCAGGCGGCATCTCTCCCCCCTGGCCCTCTCTCTCAGTCCTGAGCATAAGGGGCCTGGACAAACCTCAGACATGCTGAGGTCTTGAAAAGCAACTGGTTTTCAGGAGCCTGTGAGGTCAGGCTCACTGAGAAGAGCTGTCTGAACTGCGTGGCCACGAGAAAATCAAATCGCGGTTCTTGCTGGCCTGACTGGCAGGAGCCCAGAGAGACCGACGGCCATCCAAGAGACACAGGTGTTGCAGGGCCCCTGCTGCCTGGGCATGGAGACCCCTATCAGCGGGCAGGATCTTTTTGCCTCCTTCCCTCTTGGCAGGAGGGGGATCCTGTAAGTGCCCACCTTGATGCCCATGCCTGGGAGGCCAGGCACGTCTATGAGGACAGTGACTTGAGCCACAAAAAAGTGGGCTTGGAGCAGAAATCCAGCGACAGAAGCCAGACGAGCCCAGGACTGCGAGCTAATGCGAGGTCGCATCCTCCTGGGAACCCGCGGCACCTCTCTGAGACCAAGCCAGAGACCAGCGGGGACCTGCATCCAAGACCGACACCAGCTGACTGCCGGAGAACGGCCAACCTTCACCACAGAGGGAGACCTACAGTCTCCCCCCAGAACTCCGAGAAACGTAACCATTTAACAATGACAGACACCCTACCACCATAATGTGTATGTAAAAACATCAGTTAAGCATTTGTCATCTCTGTGGAGACAGATTTTTAAGTGACAGGGAGTAGAAGTCACAGGTTCCCATCCTCAGACCCTACGGCTGGAAATAAATGACAAAGGACAACAAGAATAACAGTGACGAAACCTTGGAAACAGAGGCACAAACATACCAACACTCCGAGGATGCAAAACAGTTGTAAACAGGAAGTCAACGCGACAAATTCAGACTTCGTAAAGATGAAGGAAAATGAGGGCCCTGCGTGATAAAATCGACGGGAGGCGGCCAACACGGCGAGAGGAAATTCTGGAGCCTTTAATGCTTTGATGAAAATCAACCACAGAGAGAAAAATAAATAAATAATTGGTGTCGTTTGAAAGGGGGAAAAAAACCACCTTAAAAAAGGAGAAATGGATACGAAAATAAAAATAGAAATGAATTCATTGGATGGGGGGGGGGGGGGGGGTGAAATAGAGCTCTAAAACCAAAAACGGGATCTCTGAAAAGATGAATGCATTTCTGACAAATATAACCAATAAAAAACCAGACAAAACCCCTGAGAAAGGAAGATGAGACTATAATCACAACTACGACGATGATTTATAAAATGGTAAAAGAATATGGATATAATGCCCAGGGTGTAGATAAGAGGAAATGCGGCGCCGTGTGCAAATCTCCTAGCATGCAGTCCTGTAGAGCGTGTCCACTCGCATGTGGCAGGGGACAAAGCTAAACCTGCCCCCTCTCTGTCCGAAGCCTGCGGCAGGATGAGACTGTCCTGGGACACGGGGCCCCCACCAGGCCCTTGCGCTGCCCTCCAGCGGGGCCTGGGAGCAGTCTGGCTCTGGCCCTTGAAAACAGCACGTCCTGGAGCCCAGCCAGCTAAGTTCTGTGCACTTTCCAACGCACAGGGAGGGCTTGTGGGAACCTCCAGGGGTCCCAGGGGACCACGACGCACCTCCCAGGATGCTCGGCTTCTTGAGGCCCATGGTAGCCCAAGCCCCTGGAGCCGGATGAGGGCTTCGGGCCCACCTGGGTGGATTTTCCTGCCCCCGAGTCCCCTCCTCGTCCTCAGGAGCCAAAACCACAGTTGGAGCTCAGCTGCAAACCCAGAGCCCGGTGGACCTGGCACGGCCTCCCTGGCTCCCGGGCGGGCGGCTCACCTCGGGGTCCTGGGCATAAAGCAGCAGCTCAGAATCCGGGCTCTGGCAGGAGTGTGGCGGCCAGGACAGGCGTGTGCACAGGTGGACAGGCTGTCTGGTGTCCAAGGGCCGCCCAGACTAGTCCCTGCTCTGAGGCGCCGGGAGGTGAGGTCTGGAGAAGGAAGGGTCCTCTTGCCCAACAGGTCCTGGCTGAGCAGTCACTGCCCCGCGGACTCCCACTGGGCCCGGGCCCCTGGGGCTCAGTGTACACAGCAAGATGCTCCCTCTGCCTTCACTCCACACAACTGGAGGCCCGGGTCCTGCACGGGCAGCTCCTCTCGTTGAGCTCACTGTCACAGAGACACCCCGAACTGTCCCCCACCGTCCCCGGCGCAGAAAAGAACACCCCGACAAGTGCTGGAAGGAGTCACGACAGGCTTTATTGTAGAACTAGCGTCACTGGCTCACCCGCAGGTCAACGGAGATGCCTGGCGAGCACCAGGGCGCCGAGGAGGCCGGGCCGCAGCCGAGGAACTCACACCTGAGTGGCAGGTTCTGTGACCCCAGAGGCCCAGCCCCGCACAGGTGCTCTCTGCTCCCGAGTCACAGGTCAGTGGGAGGTGTGTTTTTGTTTGGGGGGGGGGGGGGCAGACAGGGAGGGGCAGGGCGCTGGTATGGGGTGTAGAGTTGAGAACTGGGCAGGTAGGAGCCCAGGCAGAACTCCCCCCCACCATCACTCCATCCCCCCCTGCCTTCAGCAAGGGAGTGGGCAGGGCTGGGCAGGGTGGGAAGGCCTGGCAGTGAACGGGAGTGGCACACGGGGCTGAGGCTGTCCCAGAGCCACTCAGGGCCAGGAGACGGGGCCCTGGGAGCTGGGTAAGGCAGAGAGGAGGAGGAATCCAGCTCCCAGCCCCCAGCCCTGCCGATTTCCTCTCACTCTGGCACAGGTGGAGGGTAGGGACGGCCTGTCCAGGACTGGACAGCTGATGGGCGAGTGCGACGCAGGACAGGTCAGACGGAGAGCTCCCGCCGCCCTGGGTCCCGGTGCAGGTACAGGGGACTGGAGGCTCTGATGGCAGCCAGCCCCCGGCTCGGGCAGGGGGCCTCCCTCAGGGTTGTCTGCTGGCCCCAAGCAGGAAAGGTCTGGGTCCTGGTCTCACCCCCTCTTCCAAAGCCTCCGCCAGGCAGGACGAGCCAAGGGACAAGAGGGGTTGCATGTCACAAAACACCTGTTTCATGAAAACTGGGTCCGAACGTGAAGACTCGATCGCGAAAAGGTATGCTTTGCTCATTAAACATTCATTCACGGAGGGTTCCTGAGCGGCCGTGCGGGGCGAGGCGTCCGGGAGGACTCTAAGGCACTGGCCCTGCCCTGCACAAGGCTCCGCCCCCCGGGAGGGCAGGGAGGCCTGGCAGCACCTGCCGCTGGACAGGGAGGCCTTGGGAGCAGCAGCCGGAGCGCGTCCTGCCGAAGCCCACTTGGCACGGGAGGCGCACGCCAGGCCCAGGCCCGGGCCGAGCCCTGCAGGCGCTGGGATCGCAGCTCAGAGCTGCCGGGCTGGCCCCGGCTCTATGGCCAGAGGCCCTGGGGGGCAGGGTCTATCTGGCCAGGTCTCCCCTGGGAAAGGAAGGGAGGAAGACCTGGGGTTGCTGGGCCACCCACACCCCAGGAGGGCTGGCCTGATATCTCTAAACTGGACACAGGAAAGCACCCTGCTCAGCACCTGGGAACCAGAGGGGATTCAGGGACGCCCCAACCAGCCAGGCTCCCCCAGGCACCCACTCAACATCCCTCTCCTGGGGGACCCCTCCCAGAGCCACCGGCCCAAGGGCCATGCTGCCCCCAGCCCCACTCAGGGTGGCAGGCCCTCCATCCCATGCAGAGGCGGCAGAGCCGGTGGGCACAAGTGGACACAGTCTCCTGCCCTGCATGAGCCGCCCTGGGCTCCCCGTCCCAGTCCATCCTGGGGCCAGGCTCCCGTTAGCCAGGATCCCCACCAGCTCCCCCTCCACACGCTGTGGCTGAGGTAACTGGGCTCAGTTCCTCTGGGGACCCCCTCTCTGTACCCCACAGGGGCCCGTGACCCCACCGGCCAGAGAAAAAGGCACAGATAGGACAGGGGTCCTGTGACCCTGGCTTCCACGCCCCCCCCTCCACCCCCAGCACTAGAGGTCTGGGCCTGCAAGGCACAGTCCCCACCTCGGCCCAGGCCCCCACGGGGAGGGGCTGCCGGCCCGGGGCCAGCACAGGGCAGGGAGGGTCAGAAGAGGCTGGGGGCGGCCTGGCCGGGCGCGTCGTGGTCCCGGATGTACTGCAGGATGTCCATCTCGTCCATGGCCTGGATCTGCTGCGGCGGTGGCGGTGGCGGCCCGGCTGCGGCCTCGGACGGGCCCGCTCTGGGGGGAGCAGCTGGCTTTCTGGGTGGCGCTGGCTTAGCTGCCACGGGCGGTTTGGGCTTAGGCGGGGGCTGGGGTTTGGTCTCAGCCCCCAGGTTCAGAATCTGGTCCAAGTCCTCTTCCACTCTAGGGAACCAGAGGGAGACGCCCTGAGCACAGCCTCCTGGGGCAGGAGCCAACTGGGGGCGGGCGCACCCCACCTACAACAGTGAGGCCCCTGCTCCCCGCCTCCTCCAGCTGAACTTGGTCCGGAGGAGAGCTCAGCCCCTGAAGTGAGCGGACCCAGGTGGCCGCACAGGCCCCCTTTCCGAGCGCCCCGTTGCCAGCTGGGCTCTGCGTCCCGGGTGATGGGTCCCACGGACGCCGTGAAATGTTTCCCCCCAAGACACTCGCGTGCTCAGAGGCTGCTCACCAGGCGCCGCCCCGGCCGCCCGGCCACGGGGCCCCTTTGAAGGTAACACCTTTGGACACCCCCCGAGGCTGTGGTGTAGGCCCCAGGCCTGTGAGCGCTGCGTCACGGATTCAGAATCGACTCCACCAGGAGCTGCCCGCTGGGACGAGCCGAGTTCCAGGCGGCAGAGGCTCCCTGGGTGGAACATACCCCACCGGGCCCTGCTGCCACCAGAGCTGACCCCGTCCTCCGCTTCCCCGAGCCTCAGTTTCTCCCCTAAATACATAACAACCCCGGCTCCTCCAGCCTGCCAGAAGGCCAGGGGCGAGGGCACAGGGGAAGCGTGAGCAGATGCGGGGCGTGGGGAGATGCAAACGTGAGCAGCAGCCCCGCTGTGGCTCGGGCGGCGGGGACTCGGAGACTGTGCAATGCCCACGGCTGCTAACGCGGGTGCCAACCACAGCCTCCCGGGCCAGTGCCTCCACGCCACACGGTGGTTCCTGCAGAGAAACAGCTCAGCTTCCCGTGAACCGCCAGGCACGGCCTGCATCCGGGGGGCCCGGATGATGCGATGCAGAGACGCCCGGGGCTGAGCACTCCAAGCCCCGGGACGGGAAGCTGCCGCCCAGCCTCTCCTCGTCCAGGCGCTGGAGGGTCCTCGAAGGTGTGGGAGGACGGGACACGGGCAGGGGGACCTGGGTGCCAATGCACTCGGACCTCCCAATATCCATTTCCTATAAAGCGGCGATAACAGCACCCAGCGGAGCAATGGGGAGGACTGAGGTCAAGGCCGTGAGCAGTGCTCTCGTGCGCACACCGTCTGCCCATCCTCCTCCACAGCAGACTTGCCTCGCTCTCCCCCGTAAGCCCTACTGCTGGGCCCTGCTGGGCACGCCCGCTGTCCCGGTGAGCTGCAGCTGCCAACGGTCGGCTTTATGTGCTCCCAAGCCCTTTTATGCCAGTTGTACTTGCCCTTGCACTTAAGACACTGTTATTCTTTACGTAAACCATTGAAGTATGAGTGTGGAAGGGAAAGAGAATGACTCAGGCGTAAAGTTACCTTCCTGGAACCCGCCGAGCTGCTGGACCCGCCGGCCCTCACCGGGTCCCATCGCTGCCCCGGGGGCCAGCTGCCACCCACCGGCGCCTGCCTTCCCAGGCCAGGACCCTCCCTCAGAGGCCAAGGCTGGTGACACGCTCCCACGGTGGGCCAGGTCTGTGGCTCGGCCCAGGCCCCTCGCAGAGCTGGGAAGCACACCGGGGACGGGGTACCTGAACAGCTCCTCGGCGGCCTCTCCGTAGCCCAGGCGAGGCGCGGGCCCTCCACTCGCAGGTGCTGCCGGCAGCAGTAAGGGGTCACCCAGGGGGACGGCCCCACCGAGGTCAGGATCATCAAACAACTTCAGGGCTGAGGAGAACGTAGCAGCAGAGTGATCAGAGGGAGTCCTGCCCATCCTCAGTGGCCGGGGGAGGCGGAAATTAAAACAACGATCTCTGGAAAACAATCTGAATAAAAATCCTTTCATAAGTTCCCTCTTTTCCAGTGATACATTTATTGTGTTTTAATCTCGGTGTCTTCATCTGGGATGAAATGATTCAATCTGGAGGTTTATGTATTTGATTCTATTAAGTGATTTTCCTAGGCTGAGTGCAATTACAGACGATCATAAAGAGGCCCTTTGGAAGCGTCTTGCAGGGATAATTTTTTAGAAGAAGCAGGTGTTTCCTGAAAGTTTGCAAACTAGAGGCAGA